TTTGCTGCAGCTTCAGAGAAACGTTTTCCGGCATAGCAGGAAACGCGTGTCTGCCTACTCCGAGGTGGGTTCAAGGGCCCACCTTGCAGGGAGGCTTCAGAGAAACGTTTTCTGGCACAGCAGGAAACGCGTGTCTGCCTACTCCGGGGTGGGTTCAAGGGCCCACCTTGCAGGGAGAAGGCCAGTCTTCGAACCGGGACCTGACCATTAAGGCCAACAGCTCTTCGTTTGCTAGGCAGTTATAACGCCAGTAGTTGGGGTTCCGACGGACTTGCTACAGAGAGTCTCAGAATAAGCAAAGTGTATGTGAGCATGTCGAGGGAGGAACAGAAGTATGATTCCATCGGCAGGACTTTCATTCAAAACGATCTTTATAAAAATGAATAATTTATTAAACGTTGTTCGTTAGATTTAAGGACGTTTCATTCTTTTCGTTTGTTCAAATATAAACTTTGGTGGTTGGGCTTGTTTGTGTGTTGTTCCTTTTTTTAAAAGAAATCCCCAGCCTAAATTATTTGGGGACCTCTCGGCTTTGATTTGGAGAAACAATGTTTAAGTGTCTCTTCAGAGCCATTCAGCTTTTAAGACAGTTTTTGTTCCCACTAGAAATATGGAGGCACCTGAGGGGAAAGGCTGATATAATGACTTACTTCTTGGGTCTGGTTAGTGGTAGAGCCGGGAGCTTCTCCAGTTCCCACCCACAACACCAAACCCACCTGGGAAACCGCCAGTGGTGTTTATTTGGGAATCACCCTTAATTAGGTCTACCTTCCTATCTATTGTCTTAAAATTCAGTAGGAAACTTCTTGGTGTGTATGTCAAGCCTGGCCTGTTAGTGGCGTGTATAGAAGGTGAATGACGTCGGACAAGGTTTCCTAGGGTGCTAACGAACACCTCTCATTTAACTCTTGCAGCGCTGGAAAGGCTATGGAGCTTACCTCATCGGTGGTCCTTTTTGGAAAACTAGGAATCGCCCCCCCCACCTCATAAGTAGAAACTCAATTTAGGAGAAAATAGGGCCCAATATTCCACCACCTGCGGAGAATATATATACAGTATTCTCCTTTCCCCTTTCCTGTTTTTTTAAAAATTACCCCAACGACGATGTCCTCGATTTGATAAATTAACTAAACAGTCGGCCACAGTCCCCCTTTTTCCCCCCTTACTAATTATGCAGCTTTGCTTTAAGAGAAAAATCACACTGATAACTGTAGAGGTTCAGACAGGGAACTTGGTTTAGACAGGGAATGGCAGCAGGCATACATTCCTATGATCGACTGCAGCCGAGGTGGCAAACGTTTCCCACGACTTAAGCTTCCTCTCCTTCCTGTTCGTGGCCTCTGCTGCTTTCAGTCCGATCCACAAGGTAGCAAAAGTGGGCGATGCCATCAGCAAACGTGTCGAGGGTCGGGAATACGCATCTACGTCTGAACAGGGACGTTAGATGGGGCTGGGCAAGTCCAGCGGCAGGGCTCTGCCGCCGCTCGGTTCATTTGCAATTCTGTCTCCCACCCCACCCGCGTCCCCTTATAGGGTGGCCAGAAGTCCCCCTTTTGAAAGGGGCGCCCTCCGCCCTAGTTTCCTGGGTCTGCCACCTCACCGGGACACCCACAGTAGGTCCCTACGTCAGAACGTCGCAGCTGCGTCCAGACGGGGCTTGGTGGTGGCGGCGGTGGCGGTGGTTGTTCTTGTTGTTATTTTGGAATGCTTCTGATCTTGCAACCCTGTCCCCCTCTTCCCTCTTTCTCCCCTCCGCACCGCCTCCCCCACCCCCCCTGTGCGTTTGTATGTGTGTGTGTGTGTGTGTGTGTGCGTGCGTGCGCCTGTGGGTTTCTCTGTCCCCCCCCCCCACGCCTTCCTCCCCGCCTGTAGGTCCCCGCACGAGGAAGCTGAAGAAGAAGAAGAACGAGAAGGAGGACAAGAGGCCTCGGACGGCGTTCACGGCGGAGCAACTCCAAAGACTCAAGGCGGAATTCCAGGCGAACCGCTACATTACCGAGCAGAGGCGGCAAACTTTGGCCCAGGAGCTGAGCCTCAACGAGTCGCAGATCAAAATCTGGTTCCAGAACAAGCGAGCCAAGATCAAGAAGGCCACCGGCATCAAGAACGGCCTGGCCCTCCACCTCATGGCCCAGGGACTCTACAACCACTCCACCACCACGGTGCAAGACAAAGAGGACAGCGAGTAAGCGAGGAGGACGAGGGCCCTGCGGGGCCCCCCATCCCCTCCCACAGACTTTGGCTTTCCTGTTTTTTTTCTTTTTTTAAAATTTTTATTTTATTCTTAATATTATTATAATTATTATAATTATATTATTATTATTATTATGAACCTGATCGCCAGGGAAGACAAAGAATAACCCTACACACAGGGGAAAAAAAAGAGGGGATGAAGAAGATAAAAAGAAGACTATTTGGAAAAATCCAACAAAAGACTTTCTCCCCCCTCCCCCCCTGCAGAGACACATTGGAGGAGGGGGGGTGGCTTTGAGAAGGGTGCTATTTAAAAAAGAAAAGAAATTTATTGTCTATTCATAGTTATACGGATTCCAGTTAAAAGCAAACAAGACAAAACAGCACACTGACAAAAAATTTATCTATATAGCCAAACATCGTATGAGCTTGTATATATTTAATTTCAGGTAAGAACAAAATAATAATGATAATGTGTACCGTTTTTCTATTAGCTCAACCGTGGAGCTCCCCTTTCCTCCTCGCCCCCCCCCCGCCCCAACTTGGTCTTTATTTTTCCCTGTTTGTTTTCTTGGCCCTTTCTTAGCCTCTTGGTTCGTCAGTGTTTCGTCTGGCTCTCTCCCGTCTTGCTTTCCTCCCCCCCCTCCCCCTCCCCTCTCGTGGGTGCCTCCACCTATCT